ATAGATGTTACATAAAAAGAGAAAAAAAATACAAATAACAGATATAAAAATAGTGAAAAAAAAAACAAAAACCCAGTGAACCAACAAATTAATGACAAGGAAAAACATTCTATTTTTTTTTATACAACTTAGAATGGCAAACAAGCTGACGGCCCACCTGATGGAAAGTGGTAACCGTTGCCTATAGACATGAGCAATACCATTGACATAACAGAGTATATTGTTTCGCCCATGATACCCCCATGCGTTGCCATTCCTGAGGACGTCAGGTGTTATTCCTCTGTACCCAGTAAATTCACGCCATATCTCACCCTTCAAACCGAAGCACAGTCACGCAAACACAACTGCTTCACGGTTGAAATACGAATGGGACAGAGGTACCCAAGCAATCGACTTTTGTAGTCTCCATCTGGTTCTATGATGAGAGCCCTCCACGATCCGAGGGTTGATTCTCTTAAGATTTTTTTTATTAATTTTTCAAAATTTAATGGAGTTAGTGATTGGTGTAAGGGTGAAGGCAGATCGTTCAAATTTTTTGCGCCTGTAAATTAAAAACCCCCCTGTATAGTTTGCAGATCTATGTTGAGGAATTTTTAACATATTTAATCTAAACAGCCTACAATTTGGCAGTAGATGGCGTTGCACAATGTGTAATTGTATTTATTCGAATAAATGTCGTTTCAGTATAAGACACTGAGTGCATCTAGCTAAATGTTGGCTGTGCAATCAAGTGTCACGTTCCATACATAATACTCGTACGTCCAGTTCCACGCGGCACGAGTCGGCGAGCCGGCGACCGCTTGTTGTGTACAATTCAATACAGATATATTGAGCTGATTGCCTCCCCGAAGACCGCGCTGCATACGTGACACAAGTGTTCGCTGTTCATATATATATTTATATATATATATATATATATATATATATATATATATATATATATATATATATATATATATGAACAATAAAATTTTCATCGTGCCTCTAATCAAACTGTTTATAATTACTCCTCTCCGTTCAAAGCTTGCCTGCAAGAGACCGCTCTTAACGATAAGGTCGCCCATTGTTTTCTCACTGTGATTATTTCTTGTAATTGTTTATATCTATAATAAGTTTACTGTTGTAATCCTTTGGAGGAAACAATAAACAGTATCTATCCATCTACTCACCATCCAACTATCATCACTGTCAACCAAGAAACCAACGAAGTTAATTCTTTATGCATAGCCTACATAAAGAGTTAACCTCGTTGGTTTTCAGAGGAAAACTCGTGGAGGTCGACCTAACAGACCTAACCTATTGCTAAGAAAGAGACCTCTAGTCCCCATCACTACATAGTACATAGTATAAAACAAAGTCGTTTCCCTATGTATGCGTAAATCTTTAAAACTACCCAACGGATTTTGATGCGGTTTTTTTAATAGTGATTCAAGAGGAAGGCATGTATGTTTACTACATGCATAATATAATAGAGGAACACTGATAATTTTAGAGGTCACTGATAATGTGAGGTGGTGTAATGTGCACCCGTGCGAAGCCGGGGCGGGTCGTTAGTTACTAATAAACCCTTTCCCCCTCTACGCAAGAGTTAATCGTGACAGTTTAGGTGAGACTCGCAAATTAAGGATATAACATACACACTATTCTCTTTCTGCAAGCGTCCACCACAGGAATAGAGGTGTTCAGATCGACCTCCACGCAGTTCTTCCTGGAACTTTGATTGCTTGGGTACCTCTGTCCCATTCGTGTTTCAACCGTGAAGCAGTTGTGTTTGCATGGCTGTGTTTCGGTTTGAAGGATGGGATATGGCGTGAATTTACTGGGTACAGAGTAATAACACCTGAGTTCTCAGGAATGGCAACGCATGAGGGGTATCATGGGCGAAACAGTATACTCTGTTATGTCCATGGCACTGCTCATGTCTATAGGCGACGGTTACCACTTTCCATCAGGTGGGACGTCAGCTTGTTTGCCATTCTAAGTTGTATAAAAAAATTGTATTTTTGTGGAATTCGTTACGATGGGCTAATCGACTTGCTTTCATTCTCAGCTATCATCTATCACTAGTGTCCCACCAGCGTATACCGGCGGGTTACCATTCCATTGTCATCCATAAAAGACACGGGAATAAAAAAATCATGTAAATTAATAATTGTCGCAATAATTGACCTCTAATATATACATAGAACATAGAAAATAGACTGGCATTGTTTTTAAAAGTCAGTGTGAATTGTACGAAAGGAAAGTCTGTTCAAATCATTAGCATTTAATTATTAACACTATCACAATATGTACAAAATATAGTAATCATTTATTATTCACGACATTTCATACAGTACACCGGGCACACGGCGCGGCGCCGCCGCCGCCACTACCGCCACCGCCACCGCCACCGCCACCGCCGCCCTACGACGGCCGCCGGTCGAGCACACTCATCAACACATACACAACAAAAACAATGAAATTCTAGACTTAAAAAAAAAAATATGTAGAACAAAACTTGTCGGGTACATTTTATTCCCATTTCTTACAAATAAGAAATTCAAATTAATTCTGAATTTGTAATAGAATTATTATGTGATATATTAGGCTTTCATTAATACTTGTAAACAAATAAATCCATGAAATAATTTAAGATTATTACATCATCGTTTTAGAACTAAGAACATGAACATATATACTAAAACAATCATTTTATTAAACGAGAGACGCATATTTCATGTGCGTCTTACGCTTCATTGAACACTTCAAGCAAGCGTTTCAAACTTTTATTGGATGAATGGAGACGTTTACGGAAAATATATTTGTTTCAAAGCACTCGGTAAATAAATTTGGTCTATTATTCCTGTGCTGCTTGTATTTATTTGTAAATACTGTACAAAAAATGGGCCCACAATGAAACACCGCGACAGTAAACACAGGAACTATAGCAGGCAGCTTTATTTGTTCACCTGCTTGATAATACTAAACAAAAATACAAAATGGTGAATGTACTCATCAAAGTATTGCATAAACGAGCAAAATGTATATGAATCTGTCATTAATGATCCGTCATTAATGATTTTTTTTTATTTATGCAACTTCGAATGGTCTTCACTTAGCTGACGGCCCACCTGATGGAAAGTGGTAACCGTCGCATATAGACATGAGCAGTACCATGGGCATAACAGAGTATACTGTTTCGCCCATGATACCCCCCATGCATTGCCATACCTGAGGATTCAGGTATTAATCTGTACCCTGTAAATTCACAGCAAAAGTGCCTAAACAAACTTTTATACAAAGTCTCCCTCTGGTGTGATTCGTTATTAGTAACGATTTGCAAAAAAAAAAAACTAATATATATTCATGTTTATAACAATTTCCGATCCTGAGTCATACAGTTCCACCTGTCGGGTTTATACATGGAGGATATATTATTAATTTTCACGACTAACAAGTGTATTGAGACGACCATTACGGCAAAGGGAATAAAAACAAATTTTTAATAATTAACGACATGAGAATCAATACAAATCATACTATTTAGAATTTAACGAATTTAAAGTGAAAACTTTCAATAATAGTATACAATAACATCACTCGTAGTCAATAAGGCGATAAACACATAAGTTCAGTTATTAGCGCCAAAACAATTTGCAGGTTATCCAACATTAATAACGGGGGCCGACAAATAATATTGGTGTGTTTACATAGCCTCGACTATCTTCACAATATAGGATATCTCTCCCTCCAGCTCACTCGAACACACACCGAGAAAATATACATAATATATACTATAAAGCATAGTAACACTATCGGTAGATAACTCAAAATATTTGCTGTATCGGAGTGGAAAGATAGCACTCATTCAATACATATTATTTGTCGTGATACCGGTATTAATCCTCTATCGTGTCACGATAGAAGCGGACTGACAGCCACACTGTCTCCCTCATTAAGTTCCAAAAGCCAAGACCTTAGATTATATAGGTAAATTATAAATTCACTCTTGCGCCACCTACCCTTTTCTATCTGTTCTCCCTTAACTAAAGGTTGTCTGTAAGAGATTGCCCTAGCGATAACACCGCCTTTTGTACCTTTATGTGTATATTTCAATCTGTATTTATGTTACTGTATTTCATTTGAATTATTCACTTGTCATTGTATATTTTTATTTATGGTGCAATAAAGAGTTAAATAAATAAATAGAGCGTCTCCTTACAAGTGCTTCGAGAACAATGGGGCAACTTTTTCATACAATTTTGCGTGATATATATGAGTATAGTTATGAGTGACTCCTTTATAACTTCATTATTTATTTCATCTTATAAATCATCTTTTAAATGCGCAAAAGCTTATTTTATATTAAATAATTAAATATAGATACGTCAAGGTACAATATAGAACATTAAAAAATGTAGTCAGCTAATTGGATAATTTAGTAACAAAAAGTTGACCCGTTTTTGAGGCTTGAGGCACTATCTATATGATCTAAGGCTAGGACATATCTAGTGATTTACAACAGGTTCGACCTCTGTGCTACTTTGAATCCCCAAAAAGCCAATATGCTAGATATACAAAAGACATATATCAACATTTCTGAAAAATAAATTACCGAATTTGCACAGAAATCGAACTTGTTCAAAACCATTCATCCAAGCTGTAGTACTGAATTACAGACAATAGACTGGATACATCCTGAGTACAGTTACGAGACAGTAGAGACCAATTAAAAAATTAATTACGTATAAATAAAACATGTTATTATGAACTATTGTGATGTAGCAATACTTAGAGGAATACTATGTCAAAATTTAAATCTCTTACTGCCGGACATTACTGTCCGGTCGCGCGTAGTTGTCAACTAAACCCCGGTCGCGGTCGGACAGACGGTCCGCACACGAGTCGAGTGTTCCCAAAGTAGTGTGCTATAGTCTTGCTAATTCATAACAGCGAACAGAACAACGAATACCACTTTACAGCTAAACTGTCAACGTGTACACACACATACACACACACACACACAAGTACGGGCACGATAGCATGTAACAATACACTCTCCACCCACAATCTTCGCAGTCCGTCCTCCGTCCTCCGTCCTCGCGGGGAAGGCAATTTACATTTTGTACAAGCACTGGGGGGCTGGCGCGGGGCGCGGTCACTCTGTGTAGGTGCAGGTGAGCAGGTAGAAGGTGTCGTGCGGCCGCATGGCCAGCTTGCTGAGGTACGACACGAAGCTGGCGGCGCCGGCGTCGCAGTACACGAGCGCCAGCGCGTTGGAGCGCGGCGGCAGCGTGACGAGCGCGGAAGCGGCGGCGGCGGCGGCGGCGGCGGCGGCGGCGCCGGGCTGGTCGGCCGCCGGCTCGTCGGGCTCCTCGGGCGCCACGAAGGTGGTGGCGCCGCCTGCCGGCGGCCGCGCCGGCACGCCCGCGTACAGCGCCGCCTCCAGCCGCGCCTGCTGGTAGCGCGCGCGCGGCGGCAGCAGCTGCACACCACACCGTCACTCACTCACTACCTACCGGTTTCGCCTCGATCAAACGAGACCGGGGGTCGTTTGTGCAACTGGGAGCGTAGTAAACAAGGCCGACGGCCCAGGTAACAGTAAGGGCGCTCGCTGCCTATGAACATTAGTAGCACCGTGGCCGTCATGAAAATAAAGAAAGTAGCAGCCATTCCTGAGGAGTGACACTGTGCGTCTGTAGCCTGTAATTTCACTGCTATATCCCACTATTCAAACTGAAACGCACCCATAATTGCCGTACTGGCCAGATACATCCGGGCAGCCGCCGGCAAAAGTTGTATGAAAATCCATATCTGTCGTGTTTTGCGGTCAGATAAATTACTATGTAAACTCATATCTGTCCTGTAATTTAAAAATGGAATGACGTTTTACTTCGAAACATGGCTACCAAGGAACTAGCTTGTAAAAAGAAAGCTATTTATTGAAAAAAAAAAACAAAGGAACATATTATTCGTCATTGAATTTAAAAAGTAAAATTGTGTTTTTGATTTCCACTTTCTATTTGCAAGCCAGTTCGAAATTTAAATAAAACCTCCACAAATTTTTGCTGGCCGCTGCCCGCATGTATCTGGCCAGTACGGCAATTTTGATTTATCTCGAATAAGATTGTCAAAATAATGCTCACATTTCCAAGCATGTTTGAGAAAAAGTACTATACAAGCCTTGGCCACAACTAGGTATTGATGGACTCACGTATTATTTGCACGTTCATCCATCAATGCCTCAGTTGCTGGCCGCTGCAGTAATGTACTAATACTCGTATATAATTAGATTTCTCCTCTGCGACTCGGATGTGATTAAAATAATACGGCCATTTTTATCAATTTACTACTAGTAAATACCACGAGGGTTGCCACAACGGGCGCGAGGAGAACGACCTGACAGGATATACCGCAGGGTATAGTGCAACGAGGGTAAAATCCCCACCACTAATAATCTCCTCTCCCAACTAAAGTAAAGTGGAAAGAGTGAAAGTAGGAGGAGTGGGTGGTGCAGTAGGCGTAGGGTGTAGTGCACTGACCGCGTAGTCGCCGGCGCGCCAGCGCTGCAGCTCGAGGCGGGCGTGGCGCGCGAGCTGCAGGTCGGTGCAGTCGGCCAGCAGGCGCGCGAAGGCGGCGCTGGACAGCAGCGCCAGCAGGCGGCGCAGCGCGTGCGCGGCCGGCAGCGCGCGCAGCCAGCCGCGCGCCGCGCGCTCGTGCCGCCGCTCGTGCGCCGCGCCCGCCGCCTCCCACGCCTCCTCTGCGACGTGCCACGTGCAACGTGCTACGTACCACCAGGCGGGACTCCGCCGCGCGAGTGCCGTTCCACGTCTATTTATTTTTTACTACCAACCCGCCCCGGCCCGCCCGATTTTTTTACAGACAATATAAAGTAGCCTACATTCCTCCGAGAAGATGTGGCTCTCGGTAGAATTGCTCGAGTAGTTTTTGAGATACATCGTAACAAACAAAAAAATCGATCACCTAAACTTTCGATCTATGATATCGATTGTCGTCAAAATGATCAAGATAGCTCCCCACAGTAAGCACAATACATGTCTTTTTTGTTTCAACGACAGAAACTAATTCAGGCCCAGTGTTTATGATGCCCCGCCGTAGTGGTGATGATGGTCTACTACAAATCCCCGAATCATGCTGCTCAGCATTATTGGTATTCGAAACCACATGTGGGCCATTCATATATCCGAATGTGAAAGTAACTTCTTGAAATTTCATGTATTTTGAAATTAAAATCAAATGTGGTCACAAAATTCTACAATTTTATTTGGAAATCTTAAGTTTATTTTATATTTCTACTAGTCCTTCGAGCCGGATCACATATTCAGTATTTTGTAACAATTTAACAAAATTTTGATAATTCTACTTTCCATTCCGTGATTCGTTGTGAAGGGAAAGACACGGACAGTCAAGAGACGCCAGGAGGAACGCATTGATAAATGTTAACAAGATATGTGTACTGGTAGTATAAAGTGGTAGTGTAGCCCTGGGCAGCAGCGTGTGCGCAGTACGTACCTGGCGCGCTGCGCAGGTGCTGCAACACCTCCTCGTACTTGCTGGGCTGCAGAAAGTCGTGCAGGCACACCTCGCTCTCGCGCTCCATCTGCGCCTGGATCTGGGCGCGGTTGCGTGGCGTCATGTACGTGCTTTCCACCCACTCGTTCAGCAGCACCTGCACACCGAACCACACCACACCACTCGTCACGCCACGTCACGTCATACTTCAAACGATATATATTTTTATGCAACATGTAAGTCAGCTGGCTCATATGATGGAAAGTAGGAACCTTACATAGATTATGAATAACACCATAGACATTACGGAATGTACTATGAGGCTCGCGATATACTTCAAGTGTTACCATTACTATAATAGTCCATATGCATAATGCGTAATTTTATCTTTTCTATGGCTTAGATGTACTACAAATTATCTTTTCACTTCATTTCATTCTCCCTTAAACTCTAAGTCAGCCTTTCCCAAAGTGAGCGATAACGCCCCTTTGTGGCCGCTGCAGGCCAAAAGGGGGGCGGTAAGAGACCCAGAAAAAAAATGGAGGCGTTGTGTAGAGGCTTGGCTTGGTGATTTGTTGATCTTGAAGTAATAGTGGTTTTTAAGTAGGTGAAAAGATGGGAGCGCTAAAAAATAATTTATTCTCAAAGTGGGCAGTAGACAAAATAAATTTGGGAACCCCTACTCTAAGTTAATATTAGTAAAAAAAATATTCAAGACATATGAGATTTTTATTTAACTGTTTTATTTAACTACTAAGTTTTACCGGGACTCCCTCCTCCACCTTTTTTAACCGATACCATGTCCCACTGATGAGCATAAACTTCCCCCTTACATCTCCACAAATTATTTTTAGAGATACTAAATTTTCGATAATCGGTTAAACAGAGTTGAGAGAGAATCAACAAACGCACTTTTACAATTTTATAATGTTAATAAGGATATTTATAAAATACTAACTGACCCGGTAAATACTGTTTTAACCCTTAACGCCCCCTACCGAGTTCATTTCCCAAAATTTCATTATACGTGATTGAGTGGTTTCACAGACAAGCGTGAACGAATACAACGTAAGCGGGATTTTTGTACATTAAAATAGAAAGAGTATACTGACGACGTCGTTGTGGAACCGCTCGGGCTCCGGCTCGGGCTCGGGCTCGGGCGGCGCTGGCTCGAGCTCCGAACCGGGCGGCGGTGGGCCGTGGAACCAGCCATTGATGGACAGCCGCGGCAGCTCCAGCGACAGCACCTCGCCCACCTGCCGCCGCGCACAACACGACAATTTAGTATACACGGTGAAACTGAATTATATTATGTTTTACTGAGAAAAACAATATTTACTTGCAGGCAAGCGATTTTATATTGTTAAATCAAATATTTTCCATGTCGTATAATAGTTTTAAAAATTATATAATACAATTTCAGTCTCAAATTTCAGCAGTAGTCAGACGTCAAAAATTACTATAAAACCTTAATATTCAGGAATAGCATTCATTTTCATTTAAGAGTTTCCTCTTGTCGGTGCAACTAATTCATGCATCTTCCTCCAGCCAGCTCTATCCCAGGCCATATCCTTTATCTCCCTCTACGACATGTATATGTCGTCGTATGTCGCACGCCAGCGGCTCCAGCGCGCCGCTCAGCCGCCGCGCCCAGCCGCCGCCCTGCACATCCTGCACATCCTGCACACAGCGCCGCCGCTACATACGTACCTGGTGGAAGGAGTGCGGCCCGACTTGGAAGAAGGCGAGCATGTTGTTGCGCGGGAAGACGCGGCGGGCCACGCGCCGCGGCCGCCCGCGCGCGTCGCACGCCAGCAGCTCCAGCGCGCCGCCCAGCCGCCGCGCCCAGCCGCCGCCCTGCACATCCTGCACATCCTGCACATCCTGCACACACACAGCACATCCTGCACATCCTGCACATCCTGCACATCCTGCACATCCTGCGCACACACAGCATACAGCGCCGCCGCTACATACCACTACACATATCGCTGAATTTACCCGCAAACACGCCGCGTCGGTGGTACGTTCCGTTAAATATCTTAATCACGTATTTACATATAAATTCAGCTTCTCAGCAAACAGTTTAAAATAAGCGTAAAGATAAGGATAAACCCTATCGTAATTTATAGATATCATGTGTGACTCCAAGAAAGTGTTTATCTATCTTTCGATTTCAAAAAAAATATGTAAAATGACAGTACAGCCCAACATAGTCGCTAAAAAATCTACCAAATTAAAAACGCCACTATTTTAAAACTCGCTTAGAAATAGTTTACTAATCCCTGCAACATAAAATCATTTTGAAAAAAAAACATATTAACATTGTTTCATCTGCAGGTTTTTTTCATACCACAGAGGTGGCAATCAAGCATACGGCCCATCTGATGGTAAGTGGTTACCGTAGCCAGATATATGTAAGCAGGTTGCAGATAAATATAAACAACTAAATTGCACAGAAGCCAGTCTATTGGTCTTATTGGTCTGTATGCACCGCACAGCGCAGCGAGCACACCGCGAGCACAACATGCGAAAATTAAAAAGGCGTAAGATAAACTATCCCAGTGTTTCCCAACTTTTTTATGCCATGCCCCACTTGAA